GACCACAACGACAACGACAACGACAACGACAATCACAACGACAACGACAACGACGACAACGACAACGACAACGACAACCAGGACAAAGACAATCACAACAACAACGACAACGACACCGACAACAACAAGGACAACGACAGCGACCACAACCACAACCACAACCACAATCACAACAACGACAAAAACAACAACCACAACAGCAAAGCAACCAGAATTAACATGGCACAACAAAAAGCGGACATTCGACGGAGACAAAACAAGGACTGCACAAAAAACAAGAAAAAAAAGATAAGAAACATCAAACAACAACGGCACAACTACATTTTATGGCAGCCTATCCTGAGTGAGTTGCAAGTTTGTCGTGAGGAAGCTGAGGATGACAAGTACCTGAGATCCACGTGTTCCTGCACGATCCAATGCAAATGCCACGCTGAGACAGGTTGCTTTCAATACCTGTGATGTCCACCAGGCCACTCCTCAGCAGTTATCCACTTGCAAGGTGGCATGTTGTCCATGTGCATCTCCGACTTGGCTGCCGAGGATCTGCTTGAGTTCGGGTCCTCGAGCAACTCCCAAACACTGTCACAGCGATGGCGGCCTCAGGTGCCATGTGACTGCCAAAACTGCGCTAGGCGACACAAAGCCGCCCGTTGTACAAGACCTGTGCGAAAACGTGTTTGCCCAAGTTCAACAAAGCAGAGGGGCCAAGTCTTGCCGGTGCTTGAAGAGCCGAGACGCGAATCAGGCGAATCATGGGCCTCTCCTCTTGGGGCATGCTTTCCTGAGAGCAACTCGCCAACATAGTTTCCCACTAGGGCAAACTCTCCGGAAGTACACAATGACATCTGCCACTTCAACTGGATCGGCCGAATCGATTGCGGGTTGGATACGTTCAACAAGTTTGCCTACGTCCAAACAAGCCTTGCTCTTCGCGGCTGGCCACTGCCCCAAGAGTTGTCTCCTGCCAAGTGTCCACACTCAATACCTGAGCGGACACCTGCCGGAATTGCGAAGCCACTCGAAGGTCCAAGCTTCTTGCCTCAGGAACGAGGAACGCAAAAGGCTCGCGCCGCAGTCAGGCACTCCGCATACCAGCAACTGAGTTGTTCGCCAAGTCTGTCATTAGGGTGCTGCTAAGCCACACGCCCCAGGCGAATTTGGACATGTCATTGCCCCCAAGGCGCCCTAAAAGCGCAGGCAAGGCACGGGCTTGCCTGTTCGTCGTGGCAACGGCCGGGCAGAGGCGTCCTCAGGCGCCGAATGGCAATGGTGCGTGGCGGCTAACCCGAACATCCACAGCAATCCCACGGTGCAACGCTCTGAGTCAGAGCTTGTCCTGGGACGTCCCACCGTCCAGGCTGACCTGTCCAACTGTTCCGCACATGTGATGTGCTGAGAGCACCCAGAATTGCGCAAAGCCATCACAATCAGCTGAGGGCTGCACAACATCATCTTCAGTGTCGCCCTGCAAGTGCGCTAAGCTGAAAGACCGCTCAGGAAGCGCGAAGCAAAACGATTTGGAGGCACCAAAGCCACTTCCCGCTCCCGACTAAGCGGCCCTTGCCCCCTATTGGAACACATTCTGCCACGAGATACATGCCGCGTGGCCATCACCCACACAAGCTTCGGCCGGAATGGGACTTGCCAGCAGCCGTGGCATTTGCAGCCAGGAGGCCCGGTTCCAGCACACCAGTGGCGTGGCCTGGTTAAAGGGGATCATCTGCTTCCGCAAGGAGACCGCGGAAGACGGCGCCTGAACCATCCAAAACTGGCTTCTCACCCTGAGTTCAAATGCAAGGCAGTGGGGCCTCCTCTGGAACGACGCTGCACAGGTCTCCTGTGCGAGTTGGTTCTGTTACATTGCTTCATTCCTTTGCCACCTGAGCGGCCAAATTCCTTTCCCCAATCTGGTGAAGCAATGGGATTGCCCCACATGATCCACATTCATAAGCAACAAATCTTAAGCTATCAGCCGCTCATGCAAGCTGTGCTGAAAACCCGTTGAGGGTTGGTTCGTCCGCGCTTGCCATCAAGTCTGGATGCCCTTGCCATAATCAGGGCTCATGTGCAATGCTTGTGGGTCCTCGAGTGCTGTTGCGGGTGAGTTGCCGCCTGAGCTTGGGAGGGTCTCTGAGCTCCGTGAGGCAAGCTTCCACCTGCCGGACGGCGGATTCGTCTGATCACGGTAAGCCTTAAACATTCCTGGCTTTTTCGGCAAGCCTTTCGGCATCTTTCGACCACATGGCCGAGCAGATCCTAGCAGCTTTGGGCTCCCTTTGGCACAAGGGGTGGTCTCCCGTGCCTATGGCTTGACACCCCGAGAACGCCAAATCACCCCACTGGATCTCTCGCTTTACCTCGTCCTCTGGATAGGACGCAACATCAATCAACTGGGTTGTTCATTGATGATGTTGATGGGATCCTGCATCGATGTAAAGAATCCACAAGACAAGACCAATCAATCGACAATGGGGGTGAAGTAGCTGTTATCGGCTGTTTTCGGCTCCATCGCTCTGCCTGCTCTGAGATTCTGTCCAGCCGAGCTTCGATTCCTGCCAGCTCACCTGACGGCCGGAAGTCTAAAGGGCCAAATGGGCCAAGGAGCCCCATCAGCCCATGACGCTTCGCGAAAGGCATGCTAACCGACGCTAACATGGCCCAACTGCGCCATGTCGGGGGAAAAGGTTTCCGCTTCGGACTCGAGGCGAGGGAAAGCGGCCTCCTGGCAGCGACAAGATCCTTGGTCAGTCAAGCAAGGCAGAGCTACCACCTGGGCTTAGAACGACATCTGAAAGCTGAATCAAGACACAGCAGTCTTGACAGTCAATCATCTCATCTCTGTAGTTGATTGTCTCTAATGTGTACAGGGCGCTGCTGCACAGGAGAATTCCGGTGGAGGAGCTTAGGCTGGCTCTCCAAATGCTCTACTTGCATTGGATGCTGCTGCACAGGAGGCTGCACAGGAGACGGCCGCCGAACGATCCGGGGCTGGCTCTCCACTGGCCTCACTTCTCGCAACGCCCTGGCAATTACAGTATATGGCCCATGCCGCGTCAGCCGCAAGCTTCCTGCAATGGAAGCAACTGGGTGCCGAACATCGCAAAGCCGTTGCCGCGGTGGGCCCTTGAACGGCCCTTCGCTGAGTCTTTTTCTGATGGCTCACCGCACTGGGTCCTTATCATTTGTCTGCTTGATTGCAAGGCTATCTGCGTTTGACAATGCCCGTTTCAGCAAGTGCCGTTGAGTGCACAGGTATTCTGAGCCCCGCAGCTGCGGGAATGCAGCAGCTCTCTTCCATCTCACCCACCGTGCATTCTGAGGCAGGCCGAGTTATCGAAGTGGGTGCCAAAGCAAGGCCTTCATGCCAAGAGGTCAAGCCAGGTAGCTCAAAAAGAGTCGCGCCCAAACAACGCCGTTCCTGTGCTTCTGAACCGGAGCCCTCGGAGCTTTGCTCTCCTGTCAGATTTCACCCACACCTCCTGCTTGTGAGGGGGTTAACGGCACAATTGGTCTGTTTGCATAAGCTTCTCATTCGCTCAACGTACGTGCTGTCACATTGAGGGCTGCTTGTTGCACCTGACATAAAGCAAAGGTCCCGGAAACCTCCACTGAAATGCGTCAGTCGTTACGTGAGTCCTTGGGAGCTGGAGCTGCTTTGCCCACGCTGGGCCGAATCTGGCGATCAGGACTCGCACTGGCATCAGAGCATCAGAATCTAGAGAGTACTAGAGAGCAAACGCCATCCCGTCACCTCCCAGGGAAAGCTCCTCAACCTCGGCCAGGCGGGTCTCCCCCAATGAGGTCTAAAGCTTGGCCTGTCTGAGCCCTGCTGTTCCACACAAGGCCGCAAGGCCGGGTTGAACCGCTAAACCTCTTGGCCGCCATTCCATGAACAACATGACTTGCCTGCCCGCTTGCGGCATGGCACCAGAGCAAACCCCCCAATTCTGGGAGCTGTTGGGATCTTGGAGGCTGGGAGTGAGTTCGCAGGGTCAGGGCCCAGGCAGCTCCAGGGAAGATACTTTTGATGACCATGAGCCTTGGCAAACCGGATGCCGTGAAAGCACCAGATAAAGCCAGGCGGATTGGTTGGGGGGCGGGGTGCAGCTACCACTCTTGATCGACCAGGGCAAAGATCATCCAGGCTTGTCAGTAAGCGGATTCGCTTGCAAATGGGCGCTTGGTTTTGCTGATGCAGTCATTATCCTCACGCCCCGCAGCTCCTGTGAATTCGCGCTTGTCATTGCACTTGTGCAGTGGCTGACAAGCTTCAAATGGGGAAGCAGCTGTCTGCCACCATGTCTCACTTCAAAAAAAGTCACACTGGCTGGATGCCGCGAACCTCTTCTACGTGCAGTGGCTGAGGCACGCAGTGGTAACACGGGCGCAGGAAAAGAGGTCAGCCTGGCACAGGTTCTGAGGGCGACAAGTTTGGCACTGTGCGACCCCAGGCATGTGCACAATAGCCAGTCAAAGCTACCGCAGCGGGTGAGGATGCTCCCGTCACTCTGATCTCAAAGCTGAGTCCTTTGACAACAGCCCAGGTCAAGATCCGTCCGAACAAAGGCAGCCACGCCTTCCTCTCAGGAGGAATAAGGCAAGGCGCCGACCTGATCAAAACCGGTTCTCTGTCCGCGCGCCGCATGCCAGGCCTTCGGGTAGTCGCCCTTGCTGGAGGCGAATGCCAGCTTCGCCGCCTACAACGCCCCATGGACCCATGGCCCCATGGTCCAATGGTCCGATGGTCCGATGACCCGCGCCTTGATGAGCTGCTCCATCCACGGCTCCGAGGCCTTCCTGCACAGCCCATGCCGGGCCGAAACGGCCCAGAAACGGCCTATCTAAACAGATATCATGGCTCGCTGCGTTCTCCCGTCATCTCCAACCCCAAGCAATCAGGTTTGCTGGTGGCACATGTGGCTGACTTAGCTCGTTCCAACTGGTCGCTACCAAAACGACTTTCCAAACCCAAAACCTGGCTCGATAGGGGCTCGCTGGCAGTCCGGTTCACCATGGCAACCAGCTGGGCTCGAAGTGCACCAGATCGCTGCAAGAAGTTCTCGAGGAATGCGTCCTGTACACAGCTTTTGTGCCCGGCACAGCCGAGGCCCACTGACTCCAACGCTAAGATTCAAAGCACACTTGGCAAACCTTGTGCCGGTTCCGCGCCTCCTTTTTCTTCAGCGCCGCCTGACACCGAATCAGGTTGACATATGCTTCTGTCAAGCGGAGCTGGCCTTGACCGTCTTCTCATCCTTTGCAATGGCTGCATCCAGCTTCATCATGGCTTCCACGCTGCAGCCCTCATCGCGAAGCAGGCAAATGACATTTTTGCCCACAAGCTGGCGCCAATTGAGCACTGCACTTCTTCCAGGCAGCTCTCGATTGCAGTGATGCAACCCTCATCGCACTCCAGCACCTCACGTGCCCAGCTCATGCGGCAAGCGTTGACGCGCCCAGAAACGGACGAAATCGTGGCAAGCGCCAAGCTGCCGACTGGCAGATGAGTCCAGCTCTCCTGGGCCTTGGGCGCGGCCTTTGTGGGAGCGCCTGCCTGCACCAGAGCAGATCCATGCTACACCCATCCGTTGACCTGTCTCACAAATGTCTGATGGGCTTGTGTCAAAATGGGGGAACCCCCGAAAGTTGCGGTTTTGCATTACGCACGGCTTCCTTTTGAACCCACACACACACACACACGGCTTGCTTTCTTGCCACTTGCGTCTTGCACCCAGCCAGCCATGCCTTCTCGCCCAACAAGAAGTCACGAAGGTCCTTGCCGGCTCAAAGGGCACATGGGACGCCCTACCGAAGCACCCTCCACCACAAACTTCCAGCGTGAACGTGCATCTGAACTCGCTATGAGGGAGAGATTTCCCAAAGGCTTGTCTTCTTAAGAAGATTATTTGCTTGTTTGTTTATATATACATATAAATTACTTTCCCAATCTAGAGGTTCCTTCAGTTGGATTATTATGGTGTTCTTCTCCAAATTGAGGAAGTATGAAGAAAAGCGAATCCAAATAAAAGAACAGAGACTAATAGATGTGGAAGGACATTATGATTATTACGACATTTGTCGCAGATTAAGGGATTTTATATTAGGAAGGTCCTTCCAATGAATGCTCTTCTTTTCACATCTCTTCCTCTCTTCCCTCGCCTTCATCAGTCTCTCTCGCCACCCCCCACCCCCCGCCAAGCATTCACAATCGGAAGATCATCTTGGTGGTTTGCACAAGATCCAACCATCCAGCATCGGTGGGAGGAGAGGAACAAAAGTGAAAGTGACAAAAGCATGTTCATCCCATGAGGCATTTTGGCAAGAAGAGGCGGCATGTCACGGCTCCTGGCTCTTGTCAATGTTTACTTTGCCGGCGGCAGCGCCTGCACGCGGAAGCTGTCTTGGACAAAAAACACTGCTAAAGGCAGACCACACCGTGCGTGGCCTCGAGCCAGCTTTCTGAGGAAGCGTCCTGCACTTATGAATGAACTGCCTCCCACATTGTTTCGGCTTCGACTTGTTCCGTCAGCAACTCGAAGCTGGGTCCTTCATGTGAAGGCTGGACAAAGCTTCCTGAGAAGTGCCACAATTTGGTCGAAACCATTTGGCATGGCAGCACCTGCAAGGGGGGGGGGGGGCGAGTTCTGGCAGAACAAGATGTTTCGGCTCCAAAGAATCCACGTGCACTTGACTAAGGCAGGGGCTATGGAAGCAGCCGGCGATGGCGAGAGCCACCAGACAAGGCAGCCTCGAGTCGGCAAACATGCCCTTCCACAGAAATATGCAACTCACAAACAAACTGGTACGACGTTTCGACCAGCCATGTAGCAGCTGCCGGCGGTCGGGCATGCCAAGATGCGGCCTGCGTGCCATGCTGGGTAGTTTCGGGCACTTTTCACGCGAGGCGGGCAAAGTACACAAGATGGCAGTACAACCTAAAAATGTGGCTAGCGCTAGCATATGAGCATGAATTTCCTTGCCCTGCCTCAATCCGGGGAGCCGCCGGGTTAGGCGCGTTTCAGCCAGCAGCTTCGGGCGCACAGATCTTCTATCAGGATCGCTGCAGGAAAGCAAGGTCGTGCCAGGCAAAGGGCCATTTGCCAGCCCAAAACAGTGGGGGAACACAAAAACGTGCAAACCATCCCCCATGTCAGTCAAACAATCAAAATGAAGCAAGAAAACAACCAATCCAGCAATCCACCGAAGCAAAAAGATGCGAAGCGGCCAAACAAGTGTGGCCCAGTGGGCTTGGCGCCCAGCTCCTCCTCCTGCCGGTCCGGCAGACCTGCCACCGAGCCGTCCCCAGGGCAGAAGCGCGGTGGCACCTGGCCAGAACTCAGCCAGTCGACGGAAAACAGAAACAAACAGTTTGAAAGGGAAAACCAAGGGAAACCAAAAAAAAAGCTGAGGGGAAACAATCTTTGGCACAAGGCTGCAAGGCAAACGACTGAAAGCCGCGCGATGGCTCGAAGAAACCGTTCTGCCAAGGCACTCTGAAGGGTGGCGGCTCCCAGCCTGACCGAGTTGCCTTGCATCCATGGGTGCACTTGGCGTCGCACGTGCACATGCTTGACAAAAAACCCAAGATTCCCTGAGTGCAACGCTTTGCCCTCAGTCTTCCCCTTGCCATGCTTCTTCTTAGCTGCCTTCGCCTTGCGAGCAACATGTGAAGGCAAGTGTCCCCTCCATTGCCCATTCATTCTTTTCCTTTGTGCCAGTACAGGTCAGAGGCGACTGAACCTTCCCCACGTTGCAGTGCCAAAAAACTCCAACACTCCCAATGCCCAGCCTCGCCAGGTTTGTCCATAAACCTGCGCCAAGCTTCCACGGAAACAAGTGCAACGGGGCAATGTGCCAGCCCACCCATGCGGCTCAACGCGGCCCAGGTCTTGAACCCATGGCGCGTCTATATTCCTATGACCCGCGCAGATTGCTACTGAGGTTTGCGGCATGTTCTAAGGGCAAGCTCTTGAAGGAACTTGCACTGCGTACTAGCACCCTTCCATAGGATGTTGTGGGTCGGAGGACCCCGCTGTGAGTCACACCAATTGAAGGCCAACAAGGCTCTTCCATGAGCTACGTCTTTTTCTTGAGCCTGCCGGGCGAAGTGCCCTCAATTGCCACAGGCTTGCAAGCGGAAGCCCTGTAGATCATGTTCCCAGACGACCGCTCATTCGAACAACACAGGCCTCACCTTCAGCAACATGCGCAATGTCGGGTTTCTAAAGCGTACCAAAAGAAATTTGCATTTTCATTGCTTTGCCTAACTTCAGCTCCGTCACACCATGACGAACGCCCAGCATGCCATAAACCGCAAGCTTGTCGCGCGACCCAAAGTCATGCCCCAGCTGCCTCCAGCCCCTCTGGTCCCTGACACTCTGTGACTTCCAGCTGTTGCAGTGCGTGCATTCTTTTCCTTCACAGGGCTAAGGTGCGAATTCGCAGCTTCCGGTAGAGGCTCAAGGCAAAGTGCCTGCGAATCTACTAGCTGCTGATTCCCTGTACGAAGAAGGACTGTACTGAAAGAAGCACTCCCAAATCAAAAGGTGGAGGGAGTGGAGGGTACTGATTTGGACCAGATATCTGCAACAAGCAGCAGTCTTTACATGTCCAAACGCACAGGAGTGCTAACCGACATGCTGTGACTTCCAGCTGTTGCAGCGCGTGCATTCTTTCCCTTCACAGGGCTAAGGTGCGATTTCGCAGCTTCCGGTACAGGCTCAAGGCAAAGTGCCTGCCTTTCTCCCACCCTGAGCACTTCGCCGTCTCTACACCATGCATGAGTTAAGGAAAGGCAATCGTCTACTGCTTGACCGGATGTATACTCGAGATCCAACGCCACTCGTGCCAGTATCTGGAAAAAGGGAGCCAAGTCCAAATCCACTTTGGACCAGCCTGCCGACACAGCATCAGATTCATCTGTACGGGACACTCCGTCTGCCACATTGAATGCAGAAGGCGCCCAATCAAAGTGAGGTGTCATATTCAACCGAGCCAGAAGCATCCAAGTGAAGCAAAGCAGATTATTGATGACAGGGTCCCTACCGAAGCCACGATGAAGCGCATGGCGACCAGCAGTATTATCGATCCAGGCAATCCAAAACTTTCCCAAAACATCACGAAAGAAAACAATGGAAACAACCTGGGCAAAAACCTCCAAGAAAAAGATGAAAGCTCGACATGAGCAAAACAATCTCAAAATGTGTGGAGGCACCCGATCGAATGCATAAACAACTCGGTCACGGGGTCGGATGACCAGGCCCCAGCCGTTGTTGAAAAGGTGGCACCTCTTCATGGGCCACACCTCCGGAACTGCATCTGCATGAGGCGACAGCTTCTGATCGCCTAGCTCAAAGAACGCATCAGTGTAAACCGAAGGCATGAAAATCGGAGGTTGGAAAGGCATAAAAGGCGGTGAAACATTCTGCAGAATGGCCACCAAACACCGCAATCCAGCCCAAAGTGCATGTGGCAAATCATGGCCCGAGCGATCACCACCAAAACCAGCTGCCCGGATGTAAAGCCGCACGCCCCAGTTGACCAAAGAATGTGGTCGAAAGGAAGTTGACCTTGCCTGCAATGCGTTGTGCCAGAGCTGGTGACAACCGCTGAGCTTCCAGAACGGAATGCAAAATGCCACGGCCGGTACAAGGTGCAAGCACGATGCCATCTGAACGGCACGTCAGCTGGACCCCCAGAAGCTTCTGAGAGGCGTTAGGTGCCTGTGCCTTCTTCTCTTTCATGTAAACTCCCAAGCCAGCAAATAGATCTGCAAAGGCCAGATGTCCAGAAAAGTCGAAGGTCTTGGATTCCAAACCGCTGAAATCGTCCACATAATGGAAAACCAAAAGCCAGAGAAGCTTACGTGAGAGGACCAGGACTCCATCGGCAAACGTGCTACCAAAGGACAGAGCGTGATGCTTCCGTAGCGACACGCCCTGAGGCAAAACCAGCAATACGAAGCACTAATGTGGAGATCGAACGGCCAACTAGCGATAAGCCGAGTCCATGTCATGACTCCACGGAATCGCATCATAGCCCCGAGACTGCGGCCAGACAAGGCAGTCCACCAATGTCTGCACAGTGTGATGTGTAGGCACGTCAAAGCACGCATGGTAGCTGGCCGTCCAGTCCTCTATTCTCCGCGCTTTGTCCGGCTGCTCCACGGAGAACAAGAAGGCTGCCTGCACCATGTCCTCGTCAAGTTGCAACAAGGGATGGCCGGGAATGGTCACCTGTTCGAGACCCCAGTCCGAAGGTGTCACAAAAGGGTCTCGAAGGCGACCCTTGTGCTTCTCAACCAAGAGTTCATCCAACATCTGCTGCCAGTGAGGGTCAGGACGAATGCCTCCCAAACGGCTGGAAATGTGCGCAGTATTTGCTTTGGCAAAATCCTCCAAGTTCATGGGGTTACTGTACTTGTCATCCAGTCTCGGTAACCAGCCAGGCCCCCGGCGCATAGTGCCCAAAACCTGGCAACCGTACGTGAGATCCTCCCGCAGCTCATCGAGGCCTGGTAAGTTGCAATGCTTCAACAAGTGCAGTAACAAAGGGACCTGCAAAGCGCGAGAGCCCGAAGCACGATACACCTGCGCCACACGCGGGGGGATGTTGGAGAACCAAGCTGCAGTTTGATCAGCCCAGTCGTCCACCATACCAAGGACTTCAGTGACCACCTCCTGTCGTAGCCTGGCAACATCACCAACTGTCTGAATTTTGCAAGCAACCTGCAATATGCCCGGCTCAGGATCCGGGACACCGAACACCGGGTGAACTGCCCGAGCGGACTTCTTCCAGTGATCCCACATGGAATGCGCTGGCTGCATAGATGTCACTCGGGCCTGCCAAGGACCAGGACCCACTCCAGATGCTTCAGCACGACCTGAGCACCATGCTGAAACAACATCAATAACAGCAGTACCTTAATGACATCCAGGTGCCAGCTATTAGCCAGTAGCCTATGACGAGACTTCTCGGTGACCTTGGAGGACTTGGTGTAACTCACTGGGAAACCATGCAACTGCCTACTACGAGACACCTGAGAACTTTCGATTTCGTCCATTGGCGCTTACGCCTTGGTTCCAGCGTACCCAGTTTTGGGACGTAACCCCTTGGTGTGGAGTCCCCATGGCCATTGCCTTCACAAACGCAGGAAGAGGATGATGTTCACCACCCCAGGATTGCAGCATAGCATGTGACTGATATTCACCCTTGTGTTGTTTCGGAGCCGCTCGACCATCCGAACCGGGCGCAGGGGGGGTGAAGCGTGGGATCTGACGTTTGTGCTCGGTTATGTCAGGATGGAACCAGGTGTCAGCGGGCACTTTGATGGTATCGGTGTTTCGGCGCGGCAAGCCCAAGAACAAACGAGGAAGCTTCTGCATGCGTCCCCAACTGAGTGGCTCCTTGGTGATCGGATGGATGTGGGGTCTAGTCCAATCGATACTCGTCCAGTACAGCCTGGGTCGATTGACCAAACCTCGATCACCCGCATCAATGACCACCGCCGAGCAACCCAGACGGTTGGAAAAATGTTGTACCTCATGCTCCTGCTGAAATACCACGTTCTCACAGAGATGAAGGACCTTGCGACCACCAAGCTTGGGCGCCAGGTCATCAACCAAAGAGCAGTAAGTGTCAAACTTTCGTCCTTCTGGGCCGCTGCGACCTCGAGCCGTTGACGAAACCACCGAAAAGTCAGGGCATGGTGGAGCCGCTGCCAGCAGAACTGTCGCCGCGCCATCAGGATCAGCCTTGCCAACAAACGCCGCTACGGCATCCGTGTCTGCGTCATCGATGTCACCGAATTCACGGACATGTGGGAAGTGTGCCCGGACCACAGCCTTGCACTCTGAATCCACTTCCCAACTTGCAAATGCCAAAACCGAAGCCTGAAGGTATGCCATCAAAGAAAGACAGCAAAACCAGAGGTCTGGAAGAAGCCAACGAAATGTTGCCAAAGCAGCTGTGGTCGGGTACCGAACCAACCGGCTCGGCCCCGTGCTGTCCCTATTTGGCATTGTAGGAATACCCCGGCTGAACCCAAGAACCATATGAATCCCGCCAATTAGATTGACGAGAGCCCCAAGAGCCATCGCGATTCGTACTGGAAGCATAGCCCTTGCCCTTGGGGTAGGATGCAGGATACGGGCTGGAACGCCAATGGGGCGACCCTTCGCCAGCTTGGAGCCGCCCTTGTTCGCGGCCTCATTCGCACCACGATGCTTGGCAGGAGACGTCTTGGAACTTGGTTCCTTGGCCATGTGTTCCGCAAACTTGTCCCAATCATGGACAACATCATGGGCGGATTCAGCAAACGTACGCCCCTCCCGCAGGGACATGCACAAACGCCATGCTGAAGCCATCCAATAGGATGACAACTGCTCCAAACAATTGGGTCTGGATCGGAATCTCTCCACCATAAACTGGAAGAAGTCTGGTGGCTTTGGAAAGCGGATTGATCTCCCCCGGTGGTGAGTACTGCGTGGACACATGATGCTCATGGTGCATTCTGGCCAAAACACATTCAGCGCCCAAAAGCTGCGCAACTGGAAACTGACGTTTCCTGCCCGCAAGCTCCACTCCAGTATAGGCAGTGACCAAGCGATTCCATTCACCAGGAGGCAAGGTAGAAGGAACCCGATCAACCTGCTTGCTCGGCGCCGGCGATGCCAAATTGCCCACTGGTGATGCCGAAGAAAATGGAGCCACAGGCTGCATCTACAAACTTGGCAAATCCCCGTTAGAAACAGTCAAAATTTCCTCAAAACAAAGCGGGGCTTGAGCGGGGGTCATCTTTTGGCATGGCCCCGTTCACGGAAAACTTCTAAAAACAAAAGCCGTCAGTCCTAGACTGAGATCAATCAGGTTTAATTTAACTTCAGCATTCAACAAGAAAAAGCCAAAACCCTTCAAACCTTACCTGCTTCCGCTTTGCCGCGCGCCCAAATCACAGCTTTTGGAAGGCTGGCAGCAAGTTGCCAGGCGGGGCGGCGGGGCCATTTCGGCAAAAAACCTGCCGATGATGTCACGCACCTGCCTTTTGCTGTACGACACTTGACACTTGCGCGTGTGGCGACGTCATTCCGAAGAGTTTGACCGTACATGCGCTGAGCGGCAAAGGGCTACCTGGTAACAAGGGCTTGGTGGACCTGCGCGTTGCCAAGAAGGAGTTGGCCTATGCCTTGATCCAGAGGGCCACGAAAAGAAACTCAAGCAACAATTGCGGCATGAATGTCTCTTGCAGCCATTGGTTCACTGAAGCTGTCACTGAATTAGTCTGAGAGTGTAGGCCGGAGGTTGTGCCCGAGACTACTGGCCAAGAACCTCGTCAAAAAGCCTGAGGCAAAGAAGGCGAACAAGCCCAAGCCCATGACAGGGTAGGAACAAGATCGCAAGGCCAAGCAAACAACATATGAGAAGCAGCGCTTGAAGAGTCAACCAAATCGCCCCCGTCACACGCAGCCCAGGTAGAGCATGAAAAGTTCGAGCTGGAGAGCCTTGTGGATGCTCCTCGCATGGGTGATTCACGCGCTGAACCCTTTCAACTCCGAGCCTGGCATACAACAACTTCTTTGAAGGCACAGGCTGGGCGACACGCGGCGACGCCGGAAGCATAGTTTCCGTGCGTCACCATGGCTCCCCTTGGCTGCGAAGCCTTTTGAGACCCAAGTTGTGCTTAGCTGCCATGTTCATCCATTGCGTCGGGATTTTCTCGAGCTCCTCCGCCAGGTCTTTTGCTCTCTCCCAGGCCTTCATCAAAAGCTGGTCTTGGTTTCGAAACTTATGAGCTTCTATGGGAAAGGCTGCAGCAACGCAGTTCCAGTTTTAAGTTGCTTGGTCGACCAACCAATAAGAATCCAACCTCATACCATACTATGATCACATAGCCAAGTTTCCAACTCTTTGAGCTTCGCCGATATCATCTCCAGCCTGCTGACCCTGGGGTGTGCTCAGGGTTTCTGATGATCGCCTTGATGAGAAATTTCTCTTCTGCTTGGCAGTCATGACTGGCATGGCGTTCTGACTGCATGTGCTGCAAGCAAGCCAATGGCAGCCGCAGTAGCAGGACAAGTCACGTGCAACTACAAGCAGCAAGCGCTGTTTGTTGGCGCCGGGCAAGTTCTTCCAGGGCGCGCCCGGCCACCTAGGCGCCGGGTCCCGGCAACCAAGTTCTTGCAGGGCGCCGGGCCCCGGCAGGCTTAGGCGCCGAGTCCTGGCAACCAAATTTTCCAATAGCGGGGTAGCGCCGGGCCCCCGCAAGCCAGCATTATAGTGGCAAACGGGCAGATCGCCGTGTAGCGGCGTTGTTGATTTTAAGCCTCTGGGGTCTGAGATCCTTGCACGGAATGGCTGAAGATTTGATGCCCTCTTAAAAGCCAAGGTGGGGGCATTGCATGCGTCCTTGGGGCAATGGCAAAAAAGTTTTCCCCTTTAGCCCCGCAAAGAAAACCCATCAAATTCAAGCGAAAACCTGTCCAACTCCCCCTAACAGCCAGTCAAATTCCCCCTCGAAACTTGTCAAGCCCTAAAAGTCCGGTCAAGTTCCATGTTCCAGCACAAACCTGTCCAACTCCCCCAAAAAACACACCGCCACATTCCTCCTAGAAACCTGTCAAATCTATCTAGAAACTGGTCTGGAAATCGAAACACTCCAAGGCAGACCAAAACACAGTACCTCAAAGCATGCTGGCCAAGACAGGCAACGCGAAACGCTTACAGTAAAGGGAGGTCTACATTGGCAAGCAATATCAACATGAAGACATTCGAGCAGGACTTCTTCGTGCAACACTTGCCGCCGCCCAAGCAGGCTGCAAGTGTGAGTGTGTAGTGCTTCTGACCCCACTGTCTTCACGCACTAACTCACACACACACACAGACACACATCCATTCAGCCGCCCGGACAGCAAATAACGCGTGATGGGCGCCGTTTGGCTGCATGAGCGTTGCGAGATTTGCCTTGCGACCAGAACCCGGATGCCACCGAGGCAGGGAAAAACGAAGGCACTACACACTGAGGCTAGCCAGTAGTGGCGAGGTCAGCCAGCAAGTGTGACAATGGTCTTGGTGAAACCGCGGGATGTTGCAAACCAGGGGGTGGCCAAGCATTCTTCGAAAAGTATATACATGAACTTCAGCATGGTGTTTCGCCATGGCGGCTGTCACGTTGGCCGCAGCCAAAGGCCGGTGTTCGGACCATGGCGCAGAGACCTGCAGCGAAACCAATCCTCGGGAGGCCGCAAGTGGATATAAGTCCCCGCCTTCCGTGCACCGCGGGGTCCTTGGTTGCAACTTGATCCTCTTCACATGGCTCCCCCCAGCCCAACTTGAATCCGAGAAGCAATCATGATGACTTGGAGGAAAGTCGCGACATCCGTGAATCAAGTCTTCCAACAATCGTGCTTTCTCGCAGGGAGCTCATTGCTTCGCTTACCTCGGTCCAAAAACCGCCGACTGCAAAGCCAAACCGGCAATGAAAGCAATCTCAGCGACCCTGGTACTCTGCAGCTGCGGAACTTGTCTGACAGAGTTTCGAGCACCTTGACTTGCCGATTCCTGCTGCTCCTGAGGCAAATTACTTATGAAAATGTACGGCTGTATGTCAAAATAAGGCCAAGAAAACTTGAGCATAAGGATACACGAAAGGTAGGAGAGCATAGTGTCAGCCAGTCACCCAACAGGGTCAGATGCAAGGTGGAATTGAAGTAAGGTGGAGGAAACTTGAAGATGCCAAAGGTTGAGAACAAAGCAACAATAGACATTCGATTTTAAGAGTCGTGGCATGTGGACGGGAAAGCTACCATCTCGATAATTTGAAAGCCAGCTAGAAATTGATTGCGAGACCCAAATGCAGGGCGAAAGCCAGAAACGACAAGCCATATGGGGCGCAAAGCGGTTGAGGGAGATGAAACTCGAAAATGTTAAGGTTCACAATGACAACAAAGCACACAATGCGCAATATCCAAAGTGTGAAAGCCGAAGCATTTAGAGGGAACACACATCATCTCGAGAACTTGGAACTACCAAAAACCTGAAATGTGGCGCGAACAAAACAACCGCGAGATTTCCCCCCTACATTGAGCCAAACTGCTGGTAAGAAGTACGAACAGTACAAAGGGTAGAAGCATATAGGTGGGGGCCGGGATGAAACTGTAAACAATTAAAATATGCAAATGTCCAAAGTTTGAAGGTCAATAAATTGAGACGGAAAAAAAAAGTAGCATCCCAAGGAGACCGCCAAAAATCGCTTACGAGACCCTCCAACAGGATTTGTGGCGCGAACCCCCAAAAATACGTAGTTCGCAGGAATCCTCCTTGTATTCAGCCAAAATGTTGGTAGGAAGTGTGAAAGTTAAACATGAACTTCAAGCATATAGGGGAGTAAGGCGGCTGGGGTCGGGGATGAAACTTAACAATGGGAAGGTTTATCTAAATTGCAAAGGGAAGATCTACCGTTCAGAGGGACATCGGACAAACCAAAGCAGCACCGGGACATCACGAAAAACACAACCGGCACAGGGACTCCCCAAAACACAACCGGCACTTCACGGGAGCACCACCAAAACACGATTGGAACACCACCGGGGCACCACCAAAACACCACTGGAATGCCACCGGGATACCACCAGGACAACATCAAAAACACAACCGGGACACCACAACACCACGGATACCACCGAAACACTATCGAAAACGCTGCAGGGACACCACCAAGACAGCCCTCCAAACACAAATGGAACAATACGATACTACCCCCGGAACACCCGGGACACCACCAAAACACCTCCTTGCATTCAGCCAGAATGTTGGCAGGAAACATGAAAGGTGCAGAGGAAACTCAAGGGTTTGTCCGGGACTCCCCCCCCCAAAAGACCTTTCGTGATGTGGGAGCTGATCTTTTCTTTGGGCTGGCTTGGCAGAAACACCACCGCGTCCTCCACATATTCCTCTGGGAAGATGTGGCGCAAAAACCTCATCTTTGCTGATTGTCAGGCGTGTTCATAGTGGATATGTGAGGCTCTCGTTCCAAGCAAGTCTGACGCTAAAACGAAAACAAGTCCCAGATGCTCCATGTAGTCAATCGTGCCGCTGTGATTGTCATCAAACCTGGCCCGCTGTGCAGAACTTACACGCGTAGTCCAAGAACATAATATGTGCAGCAAAGGCTCAGCATAAACAGATCCACAATGCTGGCCTGTGGTGTTGCCAGGGATCCGCAACGCTATTTGATTTAATCCTCGTGCAACGCGACGCCGCGAAATCTGAGCCAAGCTACTGCACTCATTCCAATCCTCATCTGGCTGATCAGCCTGAAGGGCAAACGCCACGTCCTGTGTATCTGTATCATACATACATATACACAAAGAAGCCCCCCGCCCCCCCCCCCCCCCAGCGAGTGGAGCAAGAATAAATAGCAGCATGCAACGAGCCAACCAGCCAACCCACCAACCAACCCACCCACCCACCCACCCACCCCACCAACTCCCACCAACTCCCACCAACTCCCACCAACTCCCACCAACTCCCACCAACTCCCACCAACTCCCACCAACTCCAACCAACTCCCACCAACTCCCACCAACTCCCACCAACTCCCATCAACCACCAACCCACCCACCAGCCAACCAACGCAACAAAAAGCGAATTCCCATAGTTGCAGGTAAGCCGCTCAAGAAATTCTGGCAGGCTGAGAACTCCATTGCTGTCCGCGTCGATGTACTCGAACAATACTCGTAACTGAGTTGGGGTCAGATTGAAACATGTCGGGCAAACAGGCATGGCTCCGGACAGCCTGAGGTGGCCACGTCTTTGACAGAGTAGCCCCACTTCCACAGGCACTTACGAACTCGCGTTAGAAGCAGGACTCGTGCTCGGTTTTCCCAGCTTTCTGTGAACTCCCGGCCAATGGTGCCAACCTGACGCACTTTGAGATAGCGCCTGGTCACCCGAAAAAGCGAAGATACTCACTTGCCAAGTAACAGGGAGGGCGAGGAAGAGCACGCCAACAAGGGAAAGCATTCCCCTTGGGAAGAGACCGTGAGCAACTGCAATTTCAACTCAGCGACACTCCGTTAGACATCATCGCACAACCAACACAATGCAAACAAACAGGACATTCACGTTGAAACACTCTGTCATCAAATAGGCACAATCGAGCAGCGGAGAATCTTGCAGGCAGGGATCACTATTACGTGACCAGCAGGTGTCCTGGGGACATAATCGCCAAATCCCACAGAGGTGATCGTCACAATTGCGAGCCAGTAGCAGTGGGGCAGGCCTGAGGAGAGACTCAAATCATGCCTCACGTCGCTTTAAGCAATGCCAAATGCACCAAAGTCACTGGGAATGGTGCTCCTGTGCTAATCCCGTGAACTTGTGCGGAAACGGAAACCGCTCAAGATGCTGCTCCGTGAGCACGGTACATGAGTTCACTGTAGCCTTCCCCAATGTATTGTTCTGCTGACCAAGCGCAGAATATGAGATTACGTTTTGAAGAAGCACAGGTCACAACAAAGGGTTCATGCTGACGACACGGCTTGCAGGCCCAAATGACAAACTCGCAAGGGTACAAAAGTGATAAGCAACTGCAACTTGCCCACGCGTCCGAATACTCGCCCGTCCGAATTCAAGCCGGTAAAGCAGGTCCTTGACTCTGCCAGGTAGATTGCATTGGCGGATACTAGAATGATCAGTGCCATCCTTCCAGGGCACGCTGCTTGGCTGCAAAGCCCACATCACAATGTTGTGCCAAGGCACGTGTACATCATCACTGGTAACGAGGCCAGCCTCTGGAAATAAAAGCGCATAGGCCAAAAGTGGAAATCTGTGACCAACTGCTTTGGCCAACGTTGCAGGTGTACATCAACCAATGGAAATCCACGTGGCTGCTTGCATCTGGCAGTGGTTGGTTGAGCATGTCAAGCCAAGCGTCGAGTTCTTGCAAGCATCCTAGGCGACAAGCTCGAAAGGGTAAAGCACGGACTGCGAAACAGTCTAGCCTGACTATCGCATGGTGCCCCGAACAAACAAACAAAACTGATTGAAAGCCACATCCAGCGCTCGTTATGTGGGCAGCAAGCGTCGACCAAAAGCCGAAAGGACTCGAAGTACCGCAGCAGCTTCAAAAGCCGCGCCACGGGCAGCACGAAAAGGAGCAGCACCTTGGCATGGAGAGCATCGCGCCCCAAGGTACAATCCTTAGCACTTCGTCAAGCTGCTTGTACGCTTTGCTCGTCCTTAGCTCTGCAAGAACCCGCTTGAAGCGGGCTCAAAATGTCAAACCCAAGCAAATAGCATTTGGACAGCCCAAATCCAGACTGCGACTCAGCAGCAGCTGACGCCGGCCTCCGAATCACGAAGCCGACTCCGACCTCACGAAAGCATCGAGTCCCGCCAGCACGGCTGCGTCTGAACGGCTCGCTAGCCAAGTGGCTCGGATGAAGATCCCACAAGCCGAGAGCATGTCCGCCCAATTGTAGGGGTCAAACAGGTAGGCAGCTTTTGCTGGTGCCGACCCTATGCGACAAATGAACCTTTGCCGAGCGCGTTGCCAAGCTGCCACATTCTTTTCAGCTACCAGAGATGCCAGCCAAGCAACTCCAAGAGATAAATAGTGTCGAAGCAAGTTTCCAGAACTGCGGCCAAAACAGGGTTGAGGACCTCCTCCTTACAAGGCGCCGACGTTTTTGAAAATGATTGGATCGTTTCTAATGTTGGGCATTTTGTCCTCCAAGTTCTGAAGATTGGACACGATGATGCTGGTCACAACGGTCACCTAGAAAGCCCAAACCGGGTTCCAAAAAATGGGCAGCTTCGGCCGCACGTGCTACCGGGCCACCCGGAAAAACATAGAGATCCACAATGCGAGTCCTCAGTAGCCGATTCGTGACATTTTCTGCCCCTCTCTCCCGCTCGGTTGGTTGCCTGATAGGGCAAGTCAGTGAAAGCAGCGGAACTTCATTGACCGATTGGCTTGCAGCCCTGGGATCATGTGTGCACCGCATGCACATAGGGCCCATTTTTTCGCTCACTCTCTCTCTCTCTCTCTCTCTCTCTCCCCTGTGCCGTCAAAAAGGGAAGATGCATCCCGCAACGTTTGCGGACAGCCTAGCTTAATTAGCTAAAGTGCCAACAGTGCAAAGTTCTAAGGCGTCTTCAGCAAATTGGACATGCGAGCGGCAAAGGCTTTTCAAAGTTATATTCCTTGTGCTTCTGCAATGTCAATAATCGAAAGACAAAAACAATAATCCTCAGCTCTTTCTCTTCTGCATGCGCCAGCTAGGGGTGTCCGTGCCGCATTGCCAAGGCACTGCTGGAGGCCGGGTCATCCAGCAGCTCCCACAAGCGCTCGGTGCACGTTATGCCTTGCCGAAGCTGCCAGGAATGGAACAACTCGGCTGGAACAGGCTGTCCAGATAACGAGGATCGGGGGTTGCAAAGGCAGGGCAAGACGGCCAATGGCAAGGATAGGATCAAGCAGCAGGACCCTCTTGCAAGTGATGGCCGGGCATCCTACATTGATCCAAGACGCCGTTCAGCAGCCTCATCATTGGGTGCAAACTAGATTGCCCCTCCGCCGGAGATGACTCCTAGAAGGGATGCAAAAGCGGCCGTATTCTGGTGTATCCTGGCGGGCCTCGGAGGTAGCGTGCATTTGCCAGGCAATCTTGACATCCATATTTCGAACCTTGGAGCTCAAAATGCCCGGCATAGGCCGAAAAAAACGGCCCAGCAATCACATGTCCACTTGGCACACGCAGCAACCAGTCGTTGCTGGCAATATGAGCGACAAGCTGCATGCTTTCCTTTCCGCCGAGTCTTTGCTTCTGACACCGCCTTGAAATCCGCAATTCGGGTAAATTGCATGACAAGCTGCTTGGGGACATGTGGTTCACTCAGACTGGACTCGCAAAGATACACACCAGTGAAGAAGACAGCCCCCAACTTTCACTACGCGACCCAGAAAATGTCAGGAGAAAGCAGCCCTGACTGCACAAATCACTCTTGCAGCCAGTCGAAATTCAATAAGTGTCTGTGGATTCCTGCACCCTTGAGCCGACTATGCTTAAGTGGCGATTGGCTCTGCATGATTCATAGCATGAGCGTGTGCTGGAACCAAAGCAGGATGGATCCAACGGAAATCGTACGCGAAGACAGATCAAACCATCGAAACATGAAATTACACCTCCAGAAAGCGACGATCTCTCAAGCCTCAGGCGCTGCTGCAGCAATATTGCGCCAAACACTTTGCTGGTTGCTCTTCCACATGAACAGGAAAGTCAGAGTCAAACTCATCCCTGTTGCGCTTGTGCGGACGCGCCCCAAATGCGGAGACCAGCGGCCGGCTCTGACTTCTCGTCGCAGTCCTGGGCTGGCCATGCGCGTGGGCCCAGGGCATGGAGTCAGGTCATGGTGCCAAGACTGAAGCTAGATTACAAGCGGTCAGCGCGCCAATGCCTTTCTTCTAAAACGCGCCAGCAACCCCAAGAGTTCATCTGGATAACTCAAACCCTTTGGCCTCGACTCTTTAGCTGCTAAAGAGGAGACGGCTTGCAGCCCCGCAGCTCGAAACCTCACCATCTGGCTGCGCAGAGTCGTGTCCGTGTTGCTCCCTTCACCTGGGGCCTGGGAGCCACGCACCAACATGTTGCGGCCAACCGGCAGGTGCGCTGCAAACAAAATGATGCCGTCCCCCACAACCGTTCAAGCATTCTTGGACAAAGAAGTCAACGCTGTGCAATGTCTTCACGCAAGTGCTGCATCTTTCGCAAAACGGTCAGGCGAAACTTGGGGCTGGAAAAACAAGCAGGCAAATTCTCTTCGAAGGCCGCGGCGTCCCAGTCATCCGAAGGCATCGGAGACCTCGCCGCCTCGGAGCTGAATCCACACTGCGGCAGGCGCAACCCAAGTGGCAAACCAAGGGACGCCTACAAATAGCTGGTATGATTGCGGTTTCATCTTGGATTCTCCTTCAAAACCATCCCAGATTGGGTACCTCCCTACTCTGCGACACCTCTACAAGACGGCGAGTACTGTCAAGGGGTAGCAACTTGGAATCGTGTCAAGCGGCAAAAGATGCATTGGATCCCGGAGGGCCTAAAGATGATGATGACGCAGAGGCATCGTCTTCATCCTGCAGGCTATTCAAGCTACTCGGCTCATTGGGCCCGAGGCGAGGCAGCAAAAGCTGATGTTCAGCCGAGCTTCCAGAAATGGCTTGTCTGATGGTATTGCCGGCAGTATGCCATCTGCCTGGCTCATCTTGTGCCTGCGGGACCTGCGCGACTCCTTCAGAGTGCTTGCAGGCTCCAGCTTCATCAGTTGCACAAGGCAGCAATCCACCTGGGTCGCAGCAGAGGCAACCAGTGGCACAAACAGGTGATCCTTGGCAATGTCAATGCATAGCTAGCAAAACCATCGCCGCCATGCGTGATCATACTGCGGCCTGTTCAGACAGCTGGTCCAAGCGAAGCTGGATGCCAGCCAAAGGTGAAACATCTCCTGCGACAGGCTCCGATGGCACCAACTTGATTTCAGGCCAATTTTGATGTTTTGCTCACTCCCCCTCTCTCTCTCTCTCCCTCTCTATCTCTCTCTATCTCTCTCTCTTTCCATCTCTCCCTCTCTCTCTCTCTCTGTCTCTCTCTTTCTCTCTCTCTCTGTCTCTCTCTCTCTCTCTCTCTCTCTCTCTCTCTCCCCCTCTTTCACAGCACTGGCCCGAACCTGTCCCACTAGCAGGGCACTTGCCGTAGAGTGTATGGTTGTTTGGGATTGCCACGTTCGTTGCTGATGGCCTTTGGCGAGCTTGAGCTTGGCGCCCGGTTTTGAACGGTTTTGGCTAGATCATCTGCTTGGTAGGCTTCTGCAGGAGCGAGGCCCTACGGGGGCAGAAAAGCCGGGCCCACAGGCTTGAGCTCCGACGCTGTTCAGGATCTGCTGCAGCCATTCCTATATGAGCATCCGCCACATCCGGTCATGCCTTCTACAAGTTGCGCATAAGGCTGCATGTTACAGCGGCCGGGCAGCCTGGTTGGTCGCGTCGACTTGCGACGACGCTTTCACTTGCGCCGACAGCTCAAATTCGGTCACGTGCGACGACAAGAGCCGGAGTCTTCATCTTGAGGCTCGGAAAAACCCACGTCAGGCTGTTACATTTTTTGGATTCAAGAATTAGCGAGCCCGTCTCGTCGACACAAGCGCGGCCTAAGCACGATAAGTCTATTGTGATTCTGCGATGATTGAATGGCTTTGGGGCCAGGGGGCGGGGGGATGGAAGGCACCCGGGCGACGCACACACACACACAGACGCACACACACACACACACACACACACACACACACACACACACACACACACACACACACACACACACACACACACACACACACACACACACACACACACACACACACACACACACACACACACACACACACACACACGCACACACACACACACCGCACCCGCACACCCGCACCCGCACACACACACACACACACACACACACACACACACACACACACACACACACACGCACGCACACGCACACACACACACGCACACACACACGCACACGCGCACGCGCACACGCACGCACGCGCACGCGCACGCGCACGCGCCGCGCACGCGCACGCGCACGCGCACTGCGCGTGCGCGTGCGCGTACGCCTGCCCGCCCGCCCGCCCGCCCGCCCGCCCGCCCGCACGCACGCACGCACACTCACGCACGCACGCACGCACGCACGCACGCCCACCGACACAAACAAACACAGACACAAACAAACACAGACATTAACGCACCCACACACACACACACACACACGCACACGCACGCACGCACGCACGCACGCACGCACGCACGCACGCACGCACGCACGCACGCACGCACGCACGCACGCACGCACGCACGCACGCACGCACGCGCCCACACACACACACACACGCACACACAACAGATGAGGGTCCAGTTAGGGACTGCTTTGCTGAACGCCTACCTATTGGCAGGGGGGCCCCCCACCCCTGTTGCACATTTTCCGCTGCGGACAATGGCTTGGGCAAAGTGGCCTCAAGCACGTGGAACAAAATAGGCTTGCACATTTCTGAATGGGGGGGGTCGCCGCCTTCTGCATTTGGTTCTGAGTTGGATCTCGTTCGTCCACATTTCGTATTTTGAAAAAGCTACATTGCAACAAATGCGAACTAGCCCCCGCGACCAGAGATAGCCAGAGATACTCTCAAACGGAACTCTCAAATGGAATCAGGTCCACAGATTTGCAGAAGGTTGCGCCGAGCCCCCAAGAAGGACTTTGGAAGACTATCCTGCGGGCTCCCCCCCCCCCATGGTTTTGAGCTTCGACAAAAACAATGACATTGCACCAAGCAAACATCTCATAAAGACGCCCACATTGTCTGCTCCTACCCATGAATTGCACGCCCGCTATGGGTGCTGGAAAGCAGCATGGGCCTGTGTGCGCGCGCGCGTTGCTCGTATGGGCCTGTGTGTGCGCGCGTTGCTCGTTAGCCCTGCCGTGCCAGGAAACCGGAAAGCTGCGTGTGTCCCAAAACAGGGGAACAGTTTGAATGGCTTTTCAAGCGCTACCCCGAAACTGGGAGCACACATTGCGAAGTGGCAGTCACTTCCATGTCGGAGCGGGTTGTGTCCCATCAACTTCTTCGCACATATCCTGAATGCAGAGCTCCTCGCATGACATGTCATACGTCCCGTGTAAACATCGCCTTTCCGAAAGGCAACTCCTTCAACCGTCGCGCAGGGATAACGCACGCATTACTGCGCACAACCGCGCGAAAGGTATCGACCTGCGACTCTTGGACGTGTGCGTCTGCAGGGACACGCGCTTTTCCCTTTGCAAGAGCAAGCAAGTGTAAGTGCTTCAAACAGAACAGTCCTGGCAACTACAAGGACATCAAGCTACCGGTCACAGCCATGCTGCCCCCGTTCAGCTGCTTGCGGCTGGTCGACGTTCTCATCTTTCTGCAGAAGCATGTTGCGCAAAGAAGTCTATCAGATCAACGTGGAAGTTGATTGCGTCCGCTGCTGCCGACTCTTTGCAAAGGTTTATTGTGAACCAGCCCGCCAATTCAACACACGCGCAACTCCATATCTCTGGAAAACATTCGATTTAGCCTCTGAAAGCGTTCGCCCTCTTGCCAACCATCATGGGCACAAGCGGGATTTGGACTACCCAGGCCGGGCCTTCAAAAAATTCAGGGGTGGCAGGGTTTCATACGGCTTCGTAAAAAATGAAAGCAACTTGCTCAGATTGGCTGGGCTAACGGGCGGAGAAGCACTTCGCACCAACCAACATGACATGATCTCACTTCAAATCGCCAGCACGTGCGCAGCCCAGAATGTCGGGGTGCCGGCGGTCTGATTGCCTCGCGGCGATGAAGCATCACTTGGGCACGATCAGGCCCAATATCAAATTTCTCGCTGATTAAAACCATCAAGAGATCTTTCAGCAAAAATGCTTGCCCTCCAAGTTGCAAGGTTCCCAAGTAAAAAACGCCATCTGAAACGATTTCTGAACCACTTGTGGGCACGCCGCGTGTGTAGAATCGTAGAAGTGTCGCACCATGCCGCCTGAGGCAGCTTGCTAGCTGCTTAGATTGCGTCGTCTGCCAGTGTGGAGAGCTGCGCAGGACATTGGAGGCCACAGGCGCGAGTCTGTTGAATCCTTCAATATTTTGTTGGTCAAGGGGTCAAGAAGTATTGCGGATCTGGCAAATTCATCACGATGCAAAAAGAACTTACGAAACCTATGCAGTGGCAATCAGTTGCACCTGTGTTGGGCCCTGGAACGCAGTATGTGCTCAAGCAGCTGCCCCGCGCACTGCGCGACATCGTCTCCGCTGGGCGTCCAGAGCACTCGAGGTGTTCGAGGCGCAGCAAAAATGCACAAGTTCTCACAGTAGCTGCAGGACCACAGCCGGGCAAGATGTGTTTTCAGACTGCCAACTTTCATTGACGTTACCTGTGAAGCACTTGCAACATGAGTCCAAGCTTCTCCTATCTTCTCCTTACACCTTCCCAAAGAAGGGCGCTCAAAAAAAAGCCACGAATCGCACGAATGCCCGAAAACCGTGCCAAAGGTGGTTGATATATTTTGTTGGCATTTCGTTCTTGCAGTGTTCTATGTGCCTTCGCTGTGGCCCACCGTTGCGGCAGAAAACAAGCAGGCGGCAGCTGCAGCATTGACAGCGGAGACACAGACTTGCTCTTTTTGGTTCTGCCCAAAGTCTGCTCAAGCCCCATGTTGGAGCCATCATTTTCGAGGAACCAGACGCGAAGCCATACTTTCGGCCAGAGGTGCCGCGAGGTTACGAATCCCAGCGATATTCATCCTGCGCTCGCATTTGCAACCTCACGCCGCCGAGTTTTGGTATGTGTTTTGCTCTTTTTGGGAGAATCGCTGTGAAAATTTGGGCACACCGGGATTAATAACCTCTGCGCGTGGTCGGGCCACCGCCGTGCCAGCAACTGAGATCGCCTTGGTTGATGGCCACTCTTCATCAAGCGCCACCAGCAACGCTGCGCTTACTTGCAATACCAATAGCGTGACGCCGACTCCCGCCATGGCTGCTGGCCTCTACGATCCGACGCCACGTCACAACACAATAACGAAGAAGATGGCGATTGCGGCAGAGCTGGCTATAGGCAGCTGCTCCGTGTTGTCTTCATCCATTATGACGCGCCCACATTCCGCAAATAATCGACGCGCCGTGCCCTTGGCCAAAGCTGGCGCGTTTGGTCACAGAGCCAGACCTCGCGCCAGATGCTTGGAGGAGGAGCTGAGGAGGTGAGGAGCGCGGACGCCTTCAACTCTGGCAGTGGACAACAACGATTTTCAGCTGGTTGAAGGCTTTCAGCAAGCTCGTGCAGTTGTTCAAAGCGCCTTTCGTTTCAACTAAGTAACAGCCCAAACACCAACCCCAACAACAAACCGCTCCAGAGAGTACGACGGCAACCAGCGTCGGTCGATTTATTTTCACCGCACTGCCTCAAGTGGGTGGGATCGTACCTGTTGGTCGATCTGTTTCAATCTCTGGAGTCGGTGTGCGTGTCTCTCAGACACCACTGACTCGAAAGTAAAGTACAACAAAATAAAAGGTAAGCAAATGCAAGTGCATGCAAACCCAAAATGTTGTACAGCAGAGTTTCGAAGAGGGAGTGGACGTTCTCCCGTCCTCTCACTCGATGCTATAAATGCAGACCGACAGGTACTGAGGGCATGCAGTGAAAACTGGTGAGGGTGGGTGGGAAAGAAAAATTTGGCTAATTCGCCAAAATGGCGAACGGAGCATGAATCAAGCAGTGTCATCCTGCAGGCACTCAAGGTTCGAATCTGAGTGTGATTCAAATGCCTTCCGCTATCGGTTGTTACTTTTAACACAAGTGTTAACCGCAACAACAAACCGCTCCAGAGAGTACGACGGCAACCAGCGTCGGTCGATTTATTTTCACCGCACTGCCTCAAGTGGGT